AAAGACTTAAAATATATTTTCTAAAATTAGACAAAAATTATGTCTCAAAAGAGAGATAATAAGATATCATCAAGAATAAAAAGAAAAGAGAGAAATAGAGAGAAAAATTGTAAACTTTAATATCATATTTTCTTTAGTTGGGAAACCGCATTGATGCTATAATTTTAATAACGTTATGAGTTGAATTAAAATATGATTGGTTGAGTTGTAAATTAATCATTATTTGTCTTTATTCTTTTTAATTTTATTTTCTAAATAGAGGACATGATTAAAATTATGAAAAATGTGCCATAATGTTTGTTAGATATCTTATGTTTGTTTTGGGATGATGCCAGTTTCGAGGCTATTGGACAAACATGGATCTGCATATGATTGCAACAAAATATTTTTGTTATAATTTTCATTGAAAAATTTAAACGAAAATTGTAACGTTGAAATATTCGTTAGAATTGTTGTTGAAATTTCGCTGTAATATGTTTTCATTGGAATTTAATCATTTTCTTGTAGTTAATTGTTTTGAAAATTGTTGATAATGATACAAAATATAACATATTTAATGTAATAATCATTTAATTTATGATAATTAGTAATTAAAAAAAATACATATAAGTTGAAAAGTCCTTAAATATTTTATTAGTATTATAATAATTAAAGAAGAGGTCAGAGTGATGTTCTACGGAAAAGGTAATGTTAATACTAAACAAGATGTAAAAATGATATTCTACGTAATAAAAAAGTAAAACTACACAACGAGAAAGCTTATAACTGACGTTCCACTCAAAAGTAAAAAAAAAAAATAACGATAAAATTAATAAATGTCATATATCAATTGGAGCTAGCGAACGATAAATGTAAAATATACTTGAGATGCACATTTATAAAAAATATATTTAATTTTTTGTCTTAGAAATCGGTATTTTAGTCATAATTTTTTAGTTAAAAAATTAGTTAATTTTTACCATTAAATTTCTTAATTTTGAAATACTGATTTTTTTTTTTAGTAACCCTTTTATATGTAATATATCATATCATTTCTTTCCTATTTTTTATATCTTTTCTAAACGATAGAAGCAATATATTAAACCTCAAAGGGGAACAACGTTCGAATACAACCGAGACCAAAGGTCTAATGAGCAAGAACTAAAGCCGAAAACTAAAAATGGGAGGACACGCTTACAAAGCGGCCTAGAGACACCAAATAAAAAGAAGAAAGAAAGCACACCACTGCATCAAAGCCTAGCATACCNACAAGTAAACCAATAGTAATGCAATGAGGAAAAGAAAAATTCTGAATTTTTTTAGAAAAGTATGAATACTAATATCAAGAAACAAAAATCTTTTAAAATTACTACCTTTTTTGTTGCTAGCATTTAAGTATATGTTCTCTATAAGAAATTTGTTCTCGTAAATAATGATTCGATATTATCATAAGATAGACCACAAACTTTAATAATGACTTCATAATTATAAAGTTAACAGATGACTAAGAGTATCATAATATAGTATAATTCAAATTCTTCTCATCTGAAATATTTTGACAAATACTTCTCAATATTGTTTCATTGTTTTGTTTTGTTATTAATGAAGAATCAATAAAGGATCTTTATCTTGAATTTTTTAAGTATTAGTTATGACACAAAAGATTGGACAATAAATGTTATTAAACACATATATATTGCAAATCCGAAAGAATATGCAAGGTATTTATCTTCCAAATTAATAACACTGAAAAATATTTTTGAATGTTGAATAAGTTGTTACTTTTTTATAAGAATATTTACAATCATAACTGTGTATTGTGATCGATCATATGCGCAATTGTTTTAGAGTACATATTTTTATGTAATGTGTGATGATTTCAAAAAAAAAATAATTTAGCATCTTCAGAGAAGTAAATGATTTTAGAAAATCAAATTTTGTTTAGAGATGAAATTCATTCCCACCTCATGGAGTAAGTAGTAAGTACCAATTTATCTATGTGGGGAGAGAGAGAGAGAGAGAGAGAGAGAGAGAGAGAGAGAGAGAAATGTAGTAATTTATACAGTGATTAAAAGAAATATCAAGAATTTTAATGACACAAATATCAAGAAATTTAATGCTACAATTGTTTATTTCACATAGATACTTATGAACTATTAGTAGAAATACCTTATAATGATCATACAATCATAAAGTTTGACTATATGTTTGACTAAAGTATTTCTAAGTGTTGAATAAAACAAACGTTTTGCCAAATTAATTAAGAAGAATTTTGCAATACTATTGATGTATTAGAATTCAACGAGTGTGAATGTTTCTTATGAGAACATCAAAACCAAATAAAAGAAAATGACTCTTGAATTTAACATAAATAAATAAAATAACTCATGCATCTATAATATACACTATGTCTTTATTTTGTCATTTATTGTTTTTTCATTAGGAACTCATTTTTCATATATTTTTGTTGGAGTTGTAATATGATATTTAAATCTTTTTATATTACGACAACATTTTTTTATTTAAAATAAAATGCATGAAAAGTTTATTTATTCTACATTTTATTTTGTTCCTGCAATCATATATATGTGTAATAAATTAATTAATTTATCTTATTGAATTTAATCGGTAAAAAACATTCGTTGTCACGTGCATCGCACGTGCACTTTACTAGTATATATATATATATATATATATGTTGTTTTTGGCTGTGACTTTGCCCTAAGGTGTTGATCTTGTTGAATGCGTGTGCATTGTTGCTGCTAGGCCTTACCTTTCAGAAGCTATATTTTCAGTTTAGAGGCTTTAAATTGGTGTTGAAACTTTTAAGAAAAAGAAGAGAAAAAGGGAAGGTTTTGTTGCATGTTTTTTGCCTCGGTTTTGTTGTATGTTTTTGCTGAACTTTTTATGTGGTTTATATGCTGTTGATTTGTGCATTTGTTGAGGTTAAAGTTCAGTTCTTAAGGCTATG